GCATGGATTTTGTGCTTGGTTTGCCTAGAACTAGAAATAAAAAGGATTTCGTATTTGTTGTTGTGGACCGATTCTCTAAGATGGCTCATTTCATTCCTTGCAACAAGATAGACGATGCTTCACATGTTGCCAATCTTTTTTGTAGGGAAATATTGCGCCTACATGGAGTACCAAAGACGATAGTCTGAGAACGCGGCGTCAAGTTCCTAAGCTACTTTTGGAAAACCTTATGCACCAAGCTCGGAATCAAGCTACTTTTCTCCACGGCATACCATCCACAAACCGACGGCCAAACGGAGGTGACCAGCCGCACACTCTCCGCTCTACTTCGCGTGTTAATCAAGAAGAACATCAAGGAGTGGGAGGAGTGTCTACCCATCGCCAAGTACGCCTACAACCGAGCAAGACATTCGACTACCGGCAAGTTCCCCTTCAAGGTCGTCTACGGTTTCAACACGTTGTCCCCATTGAACATTCTTCCACTACCACTACAAGAGCGCACAAACATGGACACGACTGCCCGAGTCAACTATCTCAAGAAGATGCATGAAGATACAAGGCACACCATTGAGCACCAAGTACAACGACTCACGACCAAGCTCAACCTCAACAAGCACCCCATGGTATTCAACATTGGAGATCTTGTGTGGCTACACCTTCGCAAGGACCGCTTCCCCTACGAACGCAAGTCCAAACTTCTAGCACGAGCGGATGGACCCTTCAAGGTGCTTGAACGCTACAACAACAACGCCTACAAGATCAACATTCCACGAGACAATTACTCCGTGAGCGACATCTTCCACGTCAAAGATCTCTCGCCCTACCATGGTGATGAAGATTTCGATCCGAGGTCGGATCTTCCCCAAGGAAGGGGAGATGATGCGGAGCAGCGTACGGTCATCCCCATGGACCTACCATCATCTCACGAAGTGCCAAGAGGACCTATGACACGAGCTAGAGCTAGAGCTCTCGAGACCGAGGTGACTTCCTTCCTAAGTGATATCACATATGATCCTCTCGAGACATGGCTACTATCTAAGTCCGGAATGTTGTGCATGATCAGGTACCAAGAGGACCCTCCCGAAGATGCACGTGAAAGCGGACAAGTCCCCAAGTTCACGGATGAAGAGAGCCAACGGAAGGAGTCAAGAACAGCTTCCAGGCCCCGGACATCCGGCCATGACCCCGAACATCCGGCCCCTGGAGCATCGTCCACAGCAGCCGCCAAGCAACTACAGGCCCCGGACATCCGGCCCAGCCCGGACATCCGGCCCGAAGCCCGGAAATCCGGCACCCTTTATCCAGAGAGAGTCAAGGCCAGCCCCGACCGCCCGGACATCCGGCACCTCGTGAAGCCCCGGACATCCGGCCTCCCCTGTCTGCGCACAGTGTAAGGGCCCGAGGCCCGTGTACCCCGTCGTCCACCTAGACTATATATACTCCTCCCTCTTTCTAGGGTTAGCGTTGCGTTAGCTCATATGTGAGATAGAGCTTCACTCATCCATCCGGATCTACTTCATTGCGAGGAACAGACACCTCTTCGGAGAAGATCCACTTGGATTCAAGACCCCTAACAGGAAGACATCAAGACCTCCTCACGGAGAAGAACCGGTTACCCTTTGTATCGTCCCTTGTTGACTTTGGATCGTGTGATCTCTATGTGTACTCGGATCTAGCATATGTGTGATCGTTCTTGTTGGTTTGAGTGATTCTCTCGTCTTTCCCCTCGTGTTCTTCGCGGGATCCGCTCCTTTCGTGAAAATCGGCCATCTAGGGTTCCACCCTACATCACGTAAGAACATGAACAGGAGACTCGACAGGTCGAACGGAGGTCAAAGTGGAAGAATCATGAGTCATATGAAAAGACGCTCCAGTATCAAGAATCCATGGGGACGTACCTGAATGGGTAGAAGGTGGTTTCTCAGTGCCAGAAGAGTCGGTCACGGAAACTACGGAACCCGTCGCTGAAGAATCCCAAGCAGCAAGCAGGCATCGCAGCTACACAATCTCACGCGCACGGCGGAAGCGATCCAGGTAGAAACGCCTGCCGACGATGAGCAACCACCACCATCCGTGAAAGTCGCGTGTAGAGTCGACCAAGAGTAGCGAGTCGGCGTAGAGCCGCATGTAAGCCACTGGGGGAATCGACATAGAACGGTCATAGCCGTGCGCGGAAGCCGCAAGAGGAGTCGAAGTAGAGCAGTCACCGCCGCCCGCGGAAGCAACGAGAGGAGTCGACGTAGAGCGGTAACGGCCGCGCGCGGAAGCCGCGAGAGGAGTCGACGGTCATTGTCGCGCACGGAAGCCGCGAGAGGAGTCGCTGAAGAACGACCAACGCCGCAGAGAAGCAACTAGGGAAGGCAGTGCAGCTGTCGAAGGAGTTGATGTAGAGCGGCCAACAGCATCGGTGGAAGTCGCAGAAGATGTCGAAGTAGAGTGACAACCACCACCTCCAAGCGGACGAGCACCAAGCACTGAGGACAAGCGCATGTGAGAAACGGGATCAGTGAAGGGAACACCATAGAAAAACACCGGGCAGCGAGGGAGTGGCGTACCTGACGAAAGCATTGTACCTCTTTGTTTACACTCTTTTTTCTTCTTTTTTTAACCACCGAAAGAGACTAATACCGACAACAGAACACCCGATGAGCCTGGACGTGAGCGGTCAGGAGCATCGGCAGATCAATCAAGGAAAAAAAGATCAAGAGAATTGATCGGGGACCAATCAATCGAGAAGCGGACAACTCGATCCAGTGGAGCGCTGGACAACTTGATCCAGAGGGCGGCCAAAACGGGAGCACGTGAGGCGGCGGGGCGTCCCGGCCTGGGATGCAGCGAGGGCGAGGAGCAACGTGTGTGCAAAGGACCCGCGGGAGGGCACCGGCGACAGGTGGGAATCGGAGCCGGCAGCCGCACGTCGGCTCGCAGTGATGTAGGCGGCAGCGGCGAACGAACGGGAGGAGCCAGCGGCAGAGCGGCGACCAGAGAGCGACGGGTTCGGCGGCAACCTTGGAGGAAGACGTGCGGCGCGATCCAGCAGGAGAATACGAACCGTACAGACGGCGACCTTGGAAGATACGAACTGTACAGACGGCGGATGAAGGCTCGATCTGGAGCAGCAGATCAGCAAGCGTCACACGCGTACAGCAGCAGATCCAAACCGGTCGAAGACCGAAAACAGCAGTAGGGCAGCTGCGAGCGTTCAGGAGAAACGACCAAGAAATCGATGTAGAGATCGAAGGAAGACCAGGAAAAAAAACTCAATTCGAGCAGCACGAGTTGCAACGTGCAATGGAGACCCTAAAACATGGGCTCTGTTACCATGTTATCAAAGCAACTTGTATTATTGAGATACCAAAACCAACATATGTACACATACATGAGGATGCCAAAAGGCAACAAAAGGAAGCCAAGATTAGCTCAAAAAAAAGGATGCTAAGAGACAAGAATGCAAAGGCCAAAAGACATCACTAATATAACAGAATTGAGCAGAAGGACATGGTCTGTGCGGTCCTCGGCAAGATTGTAGGATGGCATGGTGCAAGCTCGGGTCATGGGATGGCATGACTGGTCGTTGGGTGAGCTACATGGCACGTTTACTGTTTCTTTCAGAATAAAAGGAGAAAGCTAGAAAAACTGCAAAGAATTACGCAGCAGAAAACTCATGTGTCTTCATCTTCTTCTCTCGCTCACTCTCATATCTCAATTCATAGGTAACATGAGCAAGGGGCGCACTAGCGGTTACACGCCAGCTTCTAGCACTAGGACAGCGGCTCCGACAATATGGTGGATACTGCATTGTATCTCACGCCAGCGTGGAGTGGCAGTAGCCAATTCCTTGCTGAGACATGGGCGTCCACCTGATGGTCGGTGCGGTGTGAAGACATCGCACCAATTAGCCAGCGCCTTTTGGCCTTTGCGTGGAGTACCGGTGGAGGCAACTATTGAACGATCCATCATTCAGATGCTGACAGGAGCACTGCTCCTTGTCCAGTGTGAAAACTCTTGTCCTTGCCTTTATTGGTCAGTATCAGCAGCAACAAACTTGCGTCGTTACATTGTTGAAGTCGTTGTCTACTTGTTGTTGTGCTGGTCTTCATTGGCTGGTCTCGATAACCATGACGAAAATCCTTGTCCGGGCCGTTTCTGGCCAGACCTGGCAAGACGATAGCATGAGGACGTTTATCCCTTCTTGAAGGTGTTGCTGCGGAAGAAGTCTGATCTAGTTATAGGTATTAACCTATTAATGCCATACTTGTAATGGTTCGGCCATGGTTCCCTTTGTTATATACTAGGCTTAATAATTAATAAGAATGGCTGTGTGCATCGCAATGATGCAAAGGCCGGAGATTCTAATCTCCCTTTCAGAAAAAAATCGGCCTCGTACGCATGCTGAATAATTGTTTTCATCAGTGGATCATAACATAGACTGGAAGCATTGCAAGAAATTCATCAGCTGGTCTGGAGTTCTGAAATTTGCAATAGCTTGCATGGAGATGTCATGTGTGTAGCCTTCAGAGATTTGTTCACTGTTTAGTGCAGCACTGCTTATCAGCACCAGTCCATGCTTGTACCAACGATTGAAGTTGTTCACAGTTTGTATGGGTGGTTCGCTGGAGCTAACTGTACAGGTTCCACTGACAGGGATTAGAAGTGAAGGGAATTATGGGGGTTAGGTCACGGGGTGGAGATGACCCAACCCCTGGGTGGAATTAATCCCCTAGAGGAAGAAGGCCGTAGTGTGTAGGTACATCTACTCCCCAACCAAGTGAGTTAGGCTCACTTCTTTAACTTGTCCTTTTCACATACTGAAACTAATACTATAAGATTAGTATAAAATAGGTTTTGAGACTACTAAGGTAACCAGCTCTCTCTGCATGCATTTACTTTTGACAACATTTATTTAACTCCACAGTGGTGATCTTTTTATATTTAGAAACCCAGAACAAATAAAGGAGGGGGTATATTTAGAAACCATGAACAAATAAAGGAGGGCTAACCTGCCTCTTCTCAAAATCTGATAGCTCCAACGATTTGGCTTCGAATTCCAGTACTAAACAGTATTTCCCATCATCAGTTACCTACATGGAAAATATACTATGAATCCCAGAACCAAGAATTACGCCAGTGAACTGAAATGTCCTTTTGTTAAATCATGTGAAAGAGTGGCTAAACTTTATGCAATTTCTACATCGTGAATTTATTAACAAGCCATAACAATACTCATGAAGGCCAAATTTCTTGCTAAAATTTCTACATCATGTAATCAGTAACAACCCATAACAATACTCCGTCATGAAGGCTAATTTTTTTTCTGAGATTTGTACATCATGTATTCGGATAAAATACCACTGTTCCTGAATACATCTCACTCTGCCTTTCAAACTAGTCCTACTTAAGCTATAGCTATAGTCCTCGCATTGTCCATCTTAGTCAACACCATCTAGTATGTTGCCTAGAGATCTGTGGTAATGCTGACCAATGACAAGGCAATAAAATAGGGGGCCACTGATGAGACAAAAATAGGATCTAATGGCACTTGATGTAACTATCTAAATATAAATTGTCAAAATTAAACGTGTGCTTTGCAGTAAGTATAACCATCTGTAGAAAAGACTACTCCAAGGAACAAAGTAAATGCAAAATTTACTTCTTGAATCTTTTGTAATATAGGTGCACTACGTCTTGGAATGCCGCCACCCTGCCAGTTCGATAGAAGGAAAGAAGATAAGTAGGATAAAGTAGCAGAATCCTTCCAATGTAAAGAAAGAGATTAGCTAGAAAATATTAGGAGCTGAGGTGAACATGAATATATAGGTATAATACGAATAAAAGGAGAGATAATGTCAGATTATGGAGTATTTAACAAAAAACTACCACATTTCATGGAACCGTGCCTACAAACTACCACTCTACAAATTTATGCCGAAAACTACCACTTTTTGTCTAATCTTTGACTAAAAACTACCATGTCGGGAAAGTGCCCAATTCGCCTCTTCTAAACGCCTTTCTGACAGGATGGGCCCACCTGTCAGCATTAATCTTCTTCCTCCTCTCTCTCTGGCATTTCCTCAAACATTTCATGTGCACTCCGCCGCTCTGCCCCGCTCGTCCTCCCACACCGTCGCCCCGCAGCACCTCGTCAGCCCGCGCCGCCCCGTCCAGTTCCTCATCGGCGACCTCCCGCTCCGGATCCGCCTCCCACGCCCGCGACCAGTGCCACGCCTCCACGCCGTCTTCCGCATCCCCGGCCTCCTCATCGCCGCTTCGCCCATCCCCGGCCACCGGTGCCCTCGCCGGAGCTAGCCGTCTCTGCCGCGCGCGGCCTCTCCCTCGCCCCGCCAGTGCCCCTGCTCCAGCGTCGCCGCCGGATGCCTCAAGCTCCAGATCCGGCCGACCTCGCCGCTCCCCTCGGCCTCCCGCAGCTGCCTGTTGCCGGCCATCCCCATGGTTCGAGGAGCCCGAGCCTTCATCTGCTCCTCTCGCCCTGCACCGGCCTCCACCAGCACCCATGGCCGCTGCTTGCTAGTCACCACCACACCGCCGCGCCCCTCCTGCTTCGACTTCATGCCCGAGCTTCGTTTTCGTCATGGACGTGGGGTAGCAGCACGGCGAAGTGTTTGACGAAATGCCAGAGAGAGAGGAGGAAGAAGATTAATACTGACAGGTGGGCCCATCCTGTTAGAAAGGCGTTTAGAAGAGGCGAATTGGGCACTTTCCTGACATGGTAGTTTTTAGTCAAAGATTAGACAAAAAGTGGTAGTTTTCGGCACAAATTTGTAAAGTGGTAGTTTGTAGGCACGGTTCCATGAAATGTGGTAGTTTTTTGTTAAATACTCCAGATTATGGCAAAGCACCAAAACAAGGAATTACCAAACCATATTGAAAGATCCGCTTTAGCGCTTCATCGAGATGCTGCTCATCACCATATCTATAACGTGTAACATCACTCCTGACCTAGAGGTAGGAGCAAGATTAACATGTGGCATGGTAGATGTTTGCATTGACTTAAAGGAAGTATTGAAAATTAAGCAATTAATCAGTGATACTTTGCAAAACAAACATTCTTCCACAAACACCAGAACTAGAACCGACGCACTTGCATTGGTTAAATGCTTGGCATGTCTAGTCTGTAGGTAGAAAAGAACTGCAGAGATATTTGGTTTAAGAATAGTAATGCAGACGCAATTGTAATGAGGTCACACCGGCACCATAAACGGAATGGGCAAAGTTTTAAACATGTTTGGTTAGCTCACGATAATCAATTACAATGCATGGTCTCTGTCCAATTGTAGAGTCCGGCATCATCACTGGCACATCCACCAACAGCGTCAAGGGATGGTTCCCACACCTCGTGTTCCGATTTGCTTCCGCGGTGGGTTGGACGACCCGGAGACGATGGCATGGTGGTGTACATGGCGGAGGACACACCGATCGGCCTGCCTCTGTTCGTTCTTGCTGCTGCTGGAGTTGCAGCAGCGGCTCGGGCCACCTCAATGAGAATGCGACGCGGGAGTTCGTCTGCCGGTGGGTGGATGACAACCGGATCCTGTACAGCGAGCGCATGGTCGACGCCCTGATGAATGGGGGCTGTGATTGAGCATGGCATTAAACCTGTTGGTGATCGGCCAGCAAGCGGAGAGCGTAAGTCGCTGCTGATGGCCGGAAGAGAGTGACGGTGTCCCGTCTAAGGGACCTCTCACCACATCGACTCCCGGCCTGGTGAGCCGGGCTGAGGACCCCTAGATCGGTTTCGTCTTGGGGCACTTCGCTTGGCCCATGGCGACCTACCAGGAGAATCAAGAAGCCTTGCAGTTCAAGACAAGGACTCCATATCCGTGGAGGATTCCTCTCCACCGATGTAGCCGACTAGGACTCCTGTAATCCTAGGGCTCCGGTGTCTTATATAAGCCGAGGCTGGGCTAGTCGATAGACAACATTACACATTACAATCTCTTGGTAGATACATGTACCCTGTGCTACACTCCAACGCAATAAACACAAACAGGAGGGTATTATCTCCTCAGAGAGCCCGACCCTAGGTAAAATCATGTGTCCTTGCTACCATCGCTCCTAGAGGCCTAGCTTAGGATCCCTACCTCGAGATCTGTCGGTTTAGGTTCTGTCAGTGGTGGCCCATATAGGTCCTACTAGGGGATAGGCAAGTTCATCTACATCGGTTCTGGTAATCCAATCAGCCCGACGGTAGTTTGGATACATTCATCCTTTGTGTCATTATTTAACAATATTTTTTTGTTAGCGACCAACCCGACTCTCGTCATGGACTTGACCATTGGGTGCGCCTATTGGGCCTGGGCTGCTGGAAAGCAACGGAAGGCAGCGACTAGAAATACAAGTGAACGAGCTATGAACAACTTGGCTCGGAACAGGACGGCTTCGGCCTCCTCTGCTTCTGTCTTCCTCTTCCTCTAGTGTTCATCTTCTTCCCTGTATTGGTAGAGATTGAGGAATCCATGGCTGTAATGTAGGAATAGAAAGTGTGTTGCTAACATTTGGTAATCAGAGCCAATCGTTCCTCCATGCAAAATCAACACAAATTCTAGCCATTTTAGGCGGATCAGCTTGGGCTGCCCGTCGTGATCGAGCGTTCGCACCGGTGGAGGAGCCGCCGCACCGATGCCTCGCCGAGCGGACGGTCCAGGGTTTCAAGGCATGGCGTCGCGCCGAGTTACAGCCATCGTGGCGCAGGTGGCTTCGGAGGTGTCCGCGGCGGTAGCATCGGAGGTGTCAGCTGTCGTGCAGCAGCGTTACAAGCTGCGCGCGGGGGGCACCACGAGTATCTCGACCTTGCACCGACAACCACATCGACCCCAACTTCGTCTGTGGCAGACGATGCCGCCTCCTCGTACGTGCAGCCATCCACCATGGTTCACGCGCGTGACTTGGATCGGCAACCGGCTGCGTGCCTCACGCTCTCCTCCGACCTTGCTTCTGTTCCTGATGCATCCATGATGGTCGCCACTCAGAATCAGCATCAGCCTTAGCGCAGCAGCAGCACGAGGAAGATGTGGCACCGCGCCAAGCCATTGAGAACATAGTCGACAGCGTCCTCGCTGCCCAGACGCCCACCACCTGTTCAATGCAATGTCAAAGCCACGATGTCACCATATCGGTGTCAGCACCCACTCCCGCCGCACCAACAACTTCGTCCAAGGTCACCGTCGATGTCGTCCCCGAGCGTTGCTGCTTCGACCTCGAGTCAGTTGCTTCGACCTCGAGTCAGCGGCCGTGACCTTGACTCCGACCTCCGCACTGGACATCTCGGGCGACAGCTCAACCGCGGCGAACTTCCTCACGCACGACGCCGTTTCCACCACCGGTTCGGCCATGGCCTTTGTGCGCGTGTCGACACCCACAAACGGTCCCACTATTGTGCTGATGGACACTACACCAGCCAGTGTCCCGACGAAGGTTGCAGCGCACGAGACGTGTCGCCATTCTGTGACACCCGCCATCTGCACGAGGAAATGCCTGGGAGACAACACGTCTACGGCATCGACATCATCCTCCCAAACGGTGGTGCTTGCTTCATCATCGGCAACACCAGCATTACTAGCTACTTTCTAGGCCGCGTTCATGGGTCCAGCTGCGGGAGAACTGCTCGAAGGCGGCGACGATGTCACCTCGCCGACGCCAACTTCTGTCGATGTGGTGGTCCCTGTAATTACCAACAAGGTTAAAATTGCAACTCTCATCCCAGCTAAACCATTCACCGAGCACAAGCTAATTGGCTTGGTCCACGGTGGTGCGTAACATTCTGGAACAACAACAGGCACAAGGACAGTCGTTTCTGGTGGATGACCTTGCTCTCAAGAGTATGCAGCTGATGTTCTGGGCTGCGAAGGATCCGTGGCTACCTTCTCTCTCAAACAGGAGCACAACTTCTAGAATTTTCAACATGCAAGTTCAAACAACACAGCTGAAGCCAACCGTATTCAAGTGGTCAGATCTTTTTTGTTTTGACACACACTTTCTTGGTGGAAGCACTCTTGACTTATTACTGGCGAAGCGAGCTGCACATACTGTGGGGAATGGGTGTTGTCTAGATAATCTTCATTGTACTCTTGGAAATAATAATTTGGCTATCACACATTGGGGTATGCATATTCCTGCTCGAGAGATATGGGTGCTCATGTACTGTCATTATGCAAGGATGTATTTTTCATGGTAAATCACAGTTCCAAAGGATGCCAGCTCCGGTGGATTCCTCACCATCCTCAATGGGAGAGCTGAAGTACAGTAGCATTATTCTCGCACAAGGATCCTAACTGATGTTGTTTGCAGATGTCAGATTTCACGTCACATTCTACGAGGTAATACTGAAAACTCAGAGCTGATGAAAAGGTTGATCAACCACTCACTATTATTGTCTGAATTTGAGTTACACAATAGTGGAAATAATATCTTTTTTTGTTGTGAGTTGGTGCAATGGGAATTTCCCTGGAGAATTATACTTGTGTCAAGGAAGTCTTGGTTCCAGTATTGCATTGCTAGATGTGAGTGCTTATATGGTTGTCAGAATTTTCAGTGGAAAGTTGAATGGTCTTGCAGTTCTCAAATCTCTCTATCAAGTCTTCAGACTCGACTGCATTGTGTCGGCCTGTTTATGCAGTGGGATTGTTACCATCACGTTCTGGACACACTTCAAATTGGGCATGCTTCCGCCATTGCATTACAAGGATTTGAGCTTCTGGAGATATTTAAGTGTGGACAAGATGATGTTGAAAACTGGGCATGTTATTCAGTGTGGTCTCAAGCATATCTAATGGAAGATTGCATGGTCGTTTAACTTGAAAAACTTGGATGTCGTCAACCAGTCAGAGCAAAAAATTCTTGCGACAACATACCCTGAGTTGCATTTTCCTTGGCACCCAGGCGATGTCCTGGTACAACATATCCTCTTGGTGGAGTTCAGTTGCCTAAACTGCAAAAGGCTCATTGTGGAAGCTGCCACACAATATCATTCTGAATGTTTTGCTTGGGAATTTACATGGTCACTTCACTCAGCGTGTTGTGCTGGCATGGCAAATACCGTACCATTTCAGTTCTTTGTTTCCATTGCCATGAGGAGCTTCCGGAGCGTCGAGTTTTATCAAGGTCCAACTTACTACTACCACCACTGCCTTGACCATGCTTTCTACTCCGACAATGTTTGTGTCAACCAACCCGACTACCTCGACGCTTTCTGTGACCAAGTGAACATCAGCGACGACTACTTCCTTGAGCAAGTCGGTGTCGTCTGCCCCCTCAACCTCGCCAAGTTCCGCCTCAACTACGGCACTCACCATGACCTCAGTGAAGTCAGGAAACATCAAGTACCATGGGATCCAGGAGGTTCGACATGGCACCGGCTTGAGGTCAAGCCAGATTTTAAGGAAGGGGGAATGTTAGCGACCAACCCGACCCTCGTCATGGACTGGACCATTGGGTGCGCCTGTTGGGCCTGGGCTGCTGGAAAGCAACGGAAGGCGGCGACTACAAATCATACATTCTTAAGAAGTTGATCCCCACTACTAGCAATTCTCTCAACATGCACACTATCCACATCAGCATGATGTCACGTAAGCGTTCAATTTGCAAGCACCAACCAATCAGTCTGAATCCCCGGCCTAACCTACAGGCTACAGCCACACTGGAAAAAGGCTTAAATTATTTCTTCCCGCACGGCCGCCCCGCTCCAAGTTAAAGCAATGCGGTCTGATCGTCTCCTCAATTACTACTTCCCCCACCGAAATCCATGCCTCTCTTCATCTTCTGCGCTAGAGTAACTGACGGAGATGTTCGCCCCTTTAATCTATGGATCTGCCCTTTCCGTAGCCTCCGCCACAAATACGACTGATGGAGACAGAGCGTCCCATTATCGCTTTGCTTCTTCGTTCTATCATCAATCCGCAGCAGTATCATCTTCTCCTAGCCCAGGCCATGGAACACCCAAC